AGTTGATGCTGTGGTTGGTTACGGTTATCCGTCCAACCAAAGCTTTATTTTTCACTGGGTATCCAGACGTTTACACTGCCTCATAATAATAATAATGATAATAAAATGCATTCACTACACGTATTAGATAATCATGTAAGCCTAATTCTTATRTGCGGAAAATTGATCTTAATGGGTAACATAGCCTTCCTCCACATCAGATTAACAATAGATAATGGATTGGAATGGTTTGGAAACTCCATAGAACAAAGCTATTATTTTGCGTTTGATGTGGAATCGTACGATCACGTGATACTGACCCTGCACAATGGACCAAAGCAAGTATGGCTGAAAATGCTCATTTCCTTATTATTTTCATGTATGAACAATTTGAAAATGAAAACTTTCAATCCATGCGAAAAAATATTTCCGCGAAGATAGATTTAAGTTACTAGATGATAAATGAGAAAGTATTAAAAGGGCAATTTCATTTTCAATAAACAATTAATATTAATCATATAGGAGTAATTAACAAATAATACACATTTTAGAACGATTTTTAAGGGTAAAAAACTTTTATGCTCCCTAATACTGTGAACAAATGGTGAAACTTTTCCTTCGTTGTGTGACTGTCAACGTCATATAACAATATGGATAAAGACGAACAAAAGCATAGAACAATAGTTTTCCTAACCAATCCGCTCCATTAGAGATTTTTAGATTTACGTTCACCTCAAACGTGAAACGTCAGTTGACCAGTAAAAAATTCTTTTAAATGACTGAAAAAGAATCGCAAAAATGTCCAAGTAGTAGAAAAACAAAATAGTATTTGCGCTTGGTGAGAAGGTTTGTAAAAGGTAAAGTAAAATACAGGAAAACTATGAAAACGTGGTCACGTTTGCCGTTTGCGGGGAGAAAAAAAGTCAATCTAAAACTCTCTAATAACTATGATTAACTTGGCTGGTAAATGTAAGATTCTTATGTTCCGAGCCTTCTCTTTGACTGTGRTGGTGACTGTCTCCAAACGAGAAGGTTGGTAATATACTGTGAGTTCTTGTTGAAGCGAGAGTTGAAGACCATAACCCCTGTTTTTCCGAGGTTACACATCAGCATATTCTATAGTATTCCATGACGAGACATCTTTTATGCAGGATCGAAGCTGATCATTAGCACACCTGGGATAGTTTGGATTGACAGCCATGTAGAGTTGTGTATCATTTGCACAGAACATACAGCTCAAGTTGTGCTGAGTATACCATAATAAAGAGGGGCCAAATACATAATAAAGAGTAATCAGAATCAGAGCCAGCCGAGTATTGGGTACTTTTATTTTTTAATTTATACTTTAAGTGTACCTTAAATATATATCCTTCAATATAACATTGCAGTAGCTACAAGTCCTTTTAGACTGCGTATTTCGTATTTGGTGGCGTACTGCTTTTCTCAACCAGTCTTTTTATTTCCCTCTCACTGGTTTTAGTGTTTTAAAAGCCGGGTTTCGTTTTCCGTGTCTTTTCTCTTTGTTTTACRAATTAATTTTAACTGGACGAATGTAACTTCAGACGGGGCATATCGTCTGATATCCGTCCTGCACGTGACCCATTTAAACCAATTACAGCGCGCACAAATTAATCGTTGTGTAATGATGACTTTGAATGAGAAATTAAAAAATAAAGACCAATCAGAGCGCATGTAAGAATGACGTAAGATAACAGCCAATCACAAGTGTATAATCGTGCAACCACGTGATGGGTTCTAAACAAGGAATCTTGCGCTGATTTGCAGACCAAATTACGCCGCTGAAAACTCGATACAATACCTTCTTATACCAATATTTTAAAGATTGATAACACTAGACTGGAAGAAATTACAGCTGCTACATTTATACGGGCTTTAGCAAAGAGTTTGGATTTCTTGTGTTTGAAAGGCATTTATCATCAGTTAAGCAATAAAATACTCTATCCCGTATAAATTAATGCAGTATTAAGTAATTATTAATCGCCGCATGCATATCAACACTGATTCCATTGTTTATTTTTCTGCAGCTGTAGYTCTTTTCACGGGAATTGTTTGTGAAAGTCAATCACATACTAAAAGAAGATGAATCTTTCATTCTACACCTTCACTCGTTGTGCAGATTTACGTCAACTAGCATCACTTGTCTATCGATTTTTGTTTAGGGTTGTTGGAATGTTTTCATCCAATGGGCGCGTTCCAGCATGAAGTGAGAGGCAGGGTTAAACCGCCAAGCCCTCACCTTACACAAGACAACAAGTAACACACTCGCTGCTGATAGCTGAACGGACGATAGACTATTTAAGAAACTCTTCAACATTTTAAACAAAAACAATATAATGTGCATAAAAAACTTATCCTCGTTATTGATACAAGTCCGAGGCTCCTTGACTGTGAAAATACATTAAYGGTCACTTGAGAGATTCCAAAATGGCGTCCATGTTGTTCGGGATATATTCTCCGTGTCTCAGAGTAATTGTCAATTAAGACTTTTTGCTAAAGGGTTAGTATTGTTCTTTTGAGTACGTTTGAGTCCCATTTGAGTTATATTTCAGTTGATTGGAGTTCATTCGAGTCTCATTYGAATTTCATTTGAGTTCATTTTTCGCGTGGCAATCGACTCTACCGTCACGTTTGTTCAACTATGCCTCGTTTTCATTATTGCCTCGTTTTCATGGCAGATTCTCGACTACAACGATAAATACATAGAAAACCTAAACCTAGACTCGGCCTACCACAGGTAGCCYGAGTAACAAGTTCTCTTCACATTGCACGAACTTTAAAGTTTTAAACTGAACATTAGGTATGTAATTTAGAATTTGCGCTATATTTACTAGCATTTCATTTATCAGTCTGTTGAAGTATTTTTATTTTTAAGAGTTTTTAGGTTTTAGTCCGCTTGGTAGTTGGCTACGGATTCCGCCTAACTACCTTAAAGCCAAGGGCGGAGCCAGGGNCCCCCCCCCCCCCCCCCCCCCCCAAGAAGTTGAAGGATAAGAAGGCGGTCCTCAACATCCAGAATGAGGACGAAAAGTGTTTCCTGTGGTCAGTACTAGCCGCCAAACAGCCTGTGGACCGATGAGACCACCCACACCGTATGCAACATTACACTAGGTATGAACCGGAACTAAACATGGATGGGATAGAGTACCCCGTCAAGATCACTCAGTTGAAAAAATTCGAGAAACAGAATCCAACCATAAGCATCAACGTGTTTGGGTACAAAGATGATGAACTGTTTCCCCTATACATTACCAAGGAGAAAAAAGAACTGCACGTCAATTTGTTACTATACTCCGAAGATGACAAAAGGCATTATTGTTTGATTAGAGACTTAGATCGATTTGAACATCGCATGTACCTTTGTGTACATAAGTCTCGATGCTTTTTACAGGTATTGGAAAAAAATAGAAATATATAGGAAAAAAATGAAAAGATGTACATATATACATATAGAAAACATATTTCAAAATAATAATCATAATAATAATAATGCAATACGTATAATATTTATACATCAAAGTCTGTATGTACTTTTAAATAAAAATGTCTTAAGTTTAGTCTTGAAAATGTCAATAGAACTGGAAGCTTTAACTTCCTCTGGCAATTGGTTCCAGAGCTAGGCGCTGTCACATACCAAAATGCAATGTCTCCATATGTTTTCGATTGGGTGCGTGGGACAGCCAAGAGGTCCTTGTTGGTGGAACGTAGAAAACGTGACATTTTGTATTCACTCAGAAGACACTTTAGGTAGCCAGGTGCAAGGCCATTGCGTACTTTCTGAGGTCAGCAATAAGATCTTAAATACAATGCGATCAGCAATGGGAAGCCAGTGCAAACTACATAGAGTGTCAGTGATGTCCACTACATCAGGTTTCGGCCTATTAACTACCCTTGCCGCGGCATTCAAAGCTTTCTGTCATCTGTCAAGATCGAAATGGGGAAGGCCGTAAAGGATGCTGTTGCATTGGTCTAATATTGTGGTGAGACGCAAATCATTTGACATATACTTCTTAGTCTTCAGTATTATTTTGGCCTTCGAATTCTTTAATTATTGTCCATTTTGTTTTGATCCATTCAGGTTCTTTAGCCGCTTACTAGCCTGAGAGAAGAAGACTGGAAGGCGGTTTCGCAGACTAGTTGCTCACGAGAAATTATTTCAAACCTCTGTAGTACTGTGAGAATTGTTTAGCTGCTTACGTGTAAGTGTCTAGGATAGTTCTGGGAAGTCATGGGAAAAGATATATAGAGATTCATCTTTCAGACTGTTTGCCGATCTGTTGATATATTAAGTTTTGCTGTTTATAAATACATGGTTGCATGTGTCTGGTTGGGCACCATGCTTYGGACAGTCAACAACCATGCGAATTAACACAATGCTAGTTAAATGGCTAGTTAAAATGTATCGTAGAACTAAAACAAGAAGGATTTGTTGAACACCAAGCTACAAGAAGAAAGTAGAAGGAAGYCGTTCAGATCACGCTCAGGAATACTGTATCGAGGCAACGAGTACTTCACAAGAASCTTTACTCATTAAAGATCTTCAGAATATTATGAATCAAATTAAAACATAACCGGCAGCTAAACTAGAAATARTAATATAATACTTTAAACTTTATTGATGAATAACCTTTATTGATGAATAAAAGAATACAAAAAAGAAAAACTATATAACCTGCATATAGCTAAAGCTAGTCTAGGCAGGTTAAATTCACAGAATATACACGTAGATTTACAAAATACTAAAAATAGATTGATTTAAAATGATAAGCGACAGTATACTCAGAGATACTTTTCTTATACTGCCACTGCTATGGCTAAACCTGTGTTGAAAATACATACATGTGATACATATGTGTCGTATCCTTCTGAAAAAATATCCTTGGGTACCCTATGGTTTTTAAAACAAACTTTTCACTTGTGTTTAAAAAGTAAATATCAAGGACCATAATATTCATTATGTTATGTCCAACACAAGTAGAAAATGAATATAATGATCGTTAGGAATCGTTTCATTACTAATAGCAAGTTATAATATTTGAATGATATAACATTATGTTGGATATATTGGCCTTAATCGCAGTTAAATGGAATTGTATTCTCGGCTGGCAATGCAAATCGGTCTAGTTTCTTATCGAAAACATTCTATAAAAAAAAAAAAACATTTTCACAGACCACTGCTATGGTTTCAGTGATTTGGGTTGGAAAACAAATTAGTGTGTTACTGTTCGTAGAGAACAGCCTCTGAACTATTAGAACGATGTCACATAAGCTTTCTTAACATGCAAATATGTTTTGTCGAGTATTTAACATGCAAATTAGCTGTCAGCCTCGATAACTGATGCAAGCGCACGCTGAAAAAAGCACCCATGAGTTTAAATTCTTAATTTTATATAAAAACGATTGTGTACTTGAACGAGTTATATTGTTTTTATTCCACTGAAGGTGTATAGGTACTACAATTAGTAAACAGCTAAAGGTTCAAACGTTTTTATTTATCATATTGATATTGATTAATATTCATATTGATTTATCATATCGACATGCACCGACATAAAATCAATTCTTGCGCAATATTTTACAGCTGGGATAGCTATAATCAGTGTTCTTTAATAACTAACATTAACAGCAGTAAACACATAAGCGAAAACCCCACTCACAATTAACTCTAAGGCCTAGCKGATTTTTCTATTTGACACTCGAYTTTCGTGAGTACGCTGCTCACTTTATCGAGGGTTTCCATTGCTTTCTTGCCACATAGTTGTGTGTGCTTCCTGGGCCTCTTTTGACACTTCTGTAGCTTTCTTTGCCTTTTTTTGCTTTTCTCTTTCTTCTTCGTCTTCGGAAGAGGAGGGTATGAACGGTTACCAGCTTCGACTCAAGTTTTCTTTGGGCCGGCGTGCGCTTAACTACATGACGCCCATCAGACGACGTGCCCGTAAGTTCAACAGACTACTGGGGAAACGGCGAATTAAAATAGAACATGTTTTTAAAGAACAAAAACATTTAAGGCCATAGGTGGCTTAAGTTATGGAGGCCTTTTCGAGAGAATTTAATTAAAGCAATCATTGTAAATGATACCGATTCTGTTGAAATCGTGTTAGACTTTTCGAGAGAATTTCAAACGATCGTTGTAAATACCGACCGATCTCTTCATATTAAATAACCCTTGAATTGTTAAACCGTTGCTAATTATTATACAAACGGATTAAACAGGGAGGTTTTCGAAGAYGGCGTTTTTCTTTTGAAAATTTGTTCTTTTCTTACAAAAAGTTTTCATTTTCTATCATTTTTTATTAATCTAAAAGTGAACTGCCACCATACGAATCCCTTGCGGGTTAGCAAGGTGACAACTCACCTAAGGTGATAATTTAATTTGCATGTTAAATACTCGACAATACTCATTAGTATGTTAAAAACGCTTATGTGAAATCGTTCTATTCTAAGCAGTTTCYATCACTTGGTTCCTGTGAATGTGAGATCGGAATACTTTGGAACTCAACATCAAAGGCATTTTGTACATCAGCCTTATGAAGGATCTTCCTCAAGAGAAGCAAAATGAGAAGGAGAATGCTCAAGAATCCAACAATAGCTTCAAAAAGTCTCTAAATCTTGCATATTTTCAGGATCCTAAASATGATCATCGACAGGACAAGGAATTAGTTTCGTATTTGTACGAACCAAATGATAAAGAAGATGATGTTTCAAATCAAATCCCGAAGAAACAACGTGAAAAGTGGAGCAAATTTGCTTTTTGGTTATCCATCTTTTCGATGTTTGTTTCTATATTGTTCAGCCTGGCTTCTTTTCTCGTCTCATACCAAACAGATAGTTCTTCAGTATTTGCTAGCGCCTTTGATGCTCTGTTGGGGACTGTGAGCTCACTCGCTGTAGCTTGGAGGTTCAGGGATTTGCTCAACGGTGGTACACGTGGTCGCAAGAGAGAACGAATCGCTACCATTGG